CTTTTGAAGAGGTTTCGCTTCTCCTCCAAGAAAGTTTCTTCAGCTCTGACAGGATGGTGGAGAGAACAGTCAGAGCTGAAGAAGCTTCTTGGAAGAGAAGCGAAACCTCTTCAAAAGAAAAAACAACAACAAGGAAGTTCAGTTGCCTCCTGAAAAAAAAAAAAACCATGACCTAAATGACTGAGAATCTCTACATAAAGTCAGATAAAGATGACAGATTTGGCTTGATGGAATAGAAGCTTTCTAATGCCTCACATACATTCTTGGTTTTTCTTTTTCCTGCCACTGTTTCGGAGGTTTTGCAAGCTAACACACCTTCCCCGACCTTTGAAATAGGAATGGCCTTGGCTCTTCCAAAGCCAGGTTCCTAACTGTTTGCTGTTCGTTCCAGAGGACAGTTCGCCAAAGGAGGAGGGAAGGGGGGGGGGGAACCAATTTAGCTAAGGTTGCTGCTTTTGAGTCACAGGTTTTTCTTTATGACTAATACTGCAGATTTAACAAACCTCTCTCCAGCCAGTGATAAGTCAGCGGCGATCATATTTCCCTGCAGGCTCTCTTCTTCCATAATTCATGTCCTGCAAGATGCAAAGGTATTCATATCGGCTTTTTTTTAATGACGTATATTTCATCTCGTCCTTCCTATGTTCCGTTTTCCTTTGAAAAGTATCTGGGAGAGGAGACAAGAAAACAATTCTGTTAATCTGGGCCAAAATAAGAATCTTTAGACTCAGTTTTTATCCGTTTTACTTTTCGGTAACTTGGGTTTCCCGAGCTGAAGTATCATTTTTAATATTGCAGGAGGAGACAGCGATAAACCCCTATGACTAAATTGATATTTACAGTCGAAACGTGACGTTAGATATTTATTCTCCGAGGAATTTCATATCCTTTCCTCCCCCGGATCATAATTTATTTACCATTAGACATATAGCCGGATTTTATTTGTATAAACTCCAGGCTATGTATATATAATGCTTCCGTTTATTTCCCTACCCAACAGCCACCCTGTAAATTTAACAGATGACCGAGTTGGAAGGGACCTTGGAGGTCATCTAGGCCAGTGATCGCCAACCGGTGGGCCGTGAGAAAATTTTGGTGGGCCGCAGAGAAATCTCACGCCCAGAGCTTCCCCCCAAAGCAATTAATCCAGGCTGCACAGAAACACAAGGCTGTGCCGCCCACATGGCCCGCAGGAACCCTCCCCGCCCACTTACTCCTTACCCGGCAAACTTGCCTGCTAAATTGCTATTTTTTCCTTTTTCTGACCATCATCTGTTCTGCTGTGCCGGGAGATTTAGATTAGCTAGGAAGCAGGACATGGTTGGATTTCTTGCTTTCTAGCTAGTCTTTAGATCTTCGGCTCTGCTTTTAAGCACAGCCGAACCTCCCTTAGGACTGAAGGTTCTATTATTCGGTGCAGACTCAAGGCAAGCAAATTTTATGTGACAGACTCAGGTAGCTGATGGCAGATAGATAGATCACTGAATGATTCTGTGAGCAACTCAATCTGCCTGCCTGCTTTGTCTGATCTTGGGTAAAAGTTGCTGTTTTTTTTTAAATAAAAAAATCAATATTTATATACGTGGTGTGTTGTGAGTTAATTTTGTGAGTTTGCTTGCAAGCAAATTTTATGTGACAGACTGAGGTAGCCAATGGCAGATAGATAGATCTCTGAATGAATCTGATTCTGTAAGCAACTCAATCTGCCTGCCTGCTTTGCCTGATTTTGGGTAACAGTTGATCTTTTTTAACAAAAAAAAGTCAATATTGATATAAATATTTATAATATTTACATACAAGCCACACCCAGCCAGTCACATGACCACCAAGCCACACCCACCAATTAGGCCACGCCCACAGAGCCAGTTAGTGGTCCCCGGGATTTAAAATTATGAGTTTGGTGGTTCCTGGGGTCCAAAAGGTTGGCAACCCCTGATCTAGTCCAATCCCCCCACCCCCGCCCAAGCAGGAGACCCTAGACCAGTGATGGCTAATCTTTTTCGTCTCCCGTGCTGAAAATTGTGCGCATGCTTGCATGCGCTCACTTGTGCGGCAGCACCCAGAAGGCAATGCGTGCGCCCTCCTCCACGCCCCCTGGGCATACATGCAAGACCCTCCCCGGTGCATGTGTGCCAGATACCCGACAATTAGCTGTTGGGCCGGTGGCTCTGCATGCCACTTTGGGGATGCATGCCGGAGCTTCGCCATCGAGGCCCTAGACCAGGGGTGTCCAACCTTGGCAACTTTAAGACTTGTGGACTTCAACTCCCAGAATTCCTCAGCCAGCAAAG